GAAATAAAGAAGCTGAGGCCAAGGGAGATTACATTTTAACAATTGGATTAAGAAGTCATCAAGGTTGTGCATTTTCTTGAAGAACATCAAATAGGAATGTGCAGTAGGTACTTTAGTTTTTGTATGTCTCCCTTAATTCATCAAATTATACGTTCCGAATAGATGCAGTTTATAGCACATGATTATACCCCCACTAAACTGGTTAGAAGGGAAAAAAATCTAGCAGCGTACGGATCAGTGTGAAATATAGAGCAGAGGTAGCTGATTCATACTGAGTCGTGACAGGAGCTTTTTGTTCTCAGTAGGAAGAAAGCAAAGTGTCATGTATGAATACAGGAACAGTAGATGTAAATTAAAATCTTTCACTTTTGATATTCTTTTTTTCCCTGTAAAACAGAAGATAAAAATGCACTCGGAAATCGAGTTAACTGATCATATACTTGTTCAGAAGAGAAGTGCCCCGTGGTCACACATGACATCATGGATGAGCCTTAGGAACAATGTAGAGTCGGGACGCCTGAGTGGCTCAGTCGATTGAGTGTCCAACTTCGGCTCAGGTCATGATCTCACAGCTGGTGGGTTCAAGCCCTGCGTCAGGCTCGGTGCTGCCAGCTCGGAGCCTGGAGCCTGCTTCGGATTCTGTGTCTCCCTCTCTCTCTCTGCCCATAACCCACTCGCATCCTGTCTCTGCCTCTCTCAAAAACAAATAAACTTTAACAAAAAATTTAAAAAAAAGAAACAGTGTAGAGTCACAGCTCACTATAGACTCACGAGGAGACAGACAGAGCTCAAAACAATCCCCAACATACAATATCATTTGGTAATAAAAGCATTATATTAAATCATTTTCTTTTAAATGGCTTGTTATGCAGCAATGGCTAACTGATTCAATGATCACGGTGAACAGAAGTAAGGACAATTATCATAATCTGCTGCTGACTGTTCTTGGTATTTATTCTTGTATTTGAAGCCTGCATTCATGGTACCTCTGTTATTTCAGTTTAGTTCAGACACCTGCATATAAAACCTGTCACTGAGAAGCACCTTAGTGGCTCAGTCGGTCGAGTCTCCAACTCTTGATTTTGGCTCAGGTTGTGATCTCACAGTCATGAGATCAAGCCCCGTTCAAGTTGGAGCCTGCTTAAGATTCTATCTCTGTCTCCCTCTCTGCCTCTTCCCCTCTCTCCTGCTGACTTCCCCTCTCACTCTCTCTCTCTCTAAAAAACAAACAAACAAACAAACAAACAACAACAAAAACAACAACAAAACAACTACCTCTCATTGAGGGTCATTTCCCCATAGCCAGGAAAGACTGAAAATGTATGCATTATTGTGTTCGAAAACTGGTGTCCCTGATTCACATGACCAGACAGGAATGTAAGCTCCCTCTTATGTCGTCCCTTGAACATAGAAGATGAATAGAATCCTGAGCCTGAGAAACATGTATAATGGAGGATAATGACCATTCGACACCCCTTTCATGGTTATGACAAAATTTAGAAGGAAGGGGGGTATTTCTTTTACAACAATGAAAGGAGTCATACCAAAGGCAGCGTAAAGATTTCAGGAAGAAACAAGGAGATAATTCAATAAAAGTAGAAAAATGTCAATCAGTCCTTCCCCCATTTGGATAAGCCCCCTTACACATGGCCACCAATCCTCCATACTCCAATGAATAGCCGTACAGCATGAAGAATAAATATTTTAAAGAGCACAATGTGTGATTTAAAACTCCGCTTCATTGGGATGGGTGCTAGATGTTGTATGTAAGTGATGAATCACGGAATTCACTCCTGAAACCAATATTGCGTGGTATATTAACTAACTAAAATTTAAATTGAACAAAACATAAAATAAAATTTTGCTTCATCATATTAAAGGGCATCTAGAGTCTAAGATCATATTCTAAAGTCAATCTATCTAAGTTTGTTGTTCCATGAAGACCTCTCTTGGAGACGCGTATTTGGTGAAAGCTTGAGTAAGGAAGTGACTATTGTACACATTGTGGACAACAAGGTACTAAGAGACCAGGAACCTAATGAGGAGAATAAAACCGATCTAGAAGACACATTAATATATTAAGTGTCCACTTTTAAGAAGAACAGTTAAGATACTGATATACAACGGAACTTCAGACATATAAGCGAAAAAACGTAGCCTCAGATATTGTACTACTTTAAAATCATATATATTTGTCATAAAGTGTGGTTGTTTCCATAGGTGGCATATCAATCATGACAGATCTTTTTGTTTGTTTGTTTCAAGTTTTTATTTAAATTCTAGTTAGTGAACATGTAGTGTAGTGTTGATGTCAGGAGTAGAATTTAGTGATTCATCACTTACATACAACACCCAGTGCTCACCCCAACAAGTGCCCTCCCTAATGCCCATTGCCCATTTAGCCCATCACCCACCCAATTCTGCCCACCAATCCTAAGACATACAGAGAGCTAACCAGTGGTAATCATGGCATTAAAAAAAACACGTATGAAAGAAAAATTATTTGGTGTGACACAATTGTTTGAGAAAGATTATTTTTTAAAAACATCTATGTTGCCTCAAGGTAAATGAACATTTCCAAATATTTCAGATCCATGGTTGGAAACAAAATTCAGAAAGTGGGAAATACAAGGGAAAAATCTGTAGGATATCAGAGAGAGAAGAGCTTCATAGAGTGACTTACATACATGGCATATGGAAGTTGAGGACAAGGAAATAAACAGAAAGAGGAATACTACATCTACAGTCTGAATAAAGATCACAATCTCTGATCCAGAGGCTTTGACCCTTGCAATCATAGGCACTTCTTCAATCTTATGACGATTGGCCATGTAAGGGTCTCCTTCCCAAAGAATGCTTTCAGAGCCCTTTTCATGTCTTTGTTCCTCAAGCTGTAGATGAAGGGGTTCAGCATGGGCGTGACCACCGTGTACATCACCGAGGCTGTGGCACTTGACCGTGAGCTCTGGGTAGCAGCAGAGCTAAGGTACACGCCGAGCATCGTACAGTAAAATAAGGAGACAACCGATAGATGAGACGCACAGGTGGAAAACGTTTTATACTTGCCCTTAGCTGATGCAATCCCACGTATAGAGGAAAGTATCTTGGAATAAGAGTAAAGGATCCCAGCAAAAGGACCACCACCCAGCAGGACAGCTGCAAGATATATCACCATGTTATTAAGAAAGGTATCAGAACAGGCCAGTTGGAGCATCTGATTGAGTTCACAGAAAAAGTGGGGGATATGCAAGTGTGTACAGAAGGACAGCCGCAACATCATTAAACTTTGTAACAGGGAATTCAGGACACACATGATCCAGGACACCAGAACCAGCAGCCCACAGAGCCGGGGGTTCATGATGATCGTGTAGTGCAGGGGGTGACAGATGGCCACAAACCGGTCATAGGCCATCACACTCAGCAGAAAGGTGTCCAAAACACCAAAGAGTATGAGAAAATAAATCTGTGTGATACAGCCTGCATAGGTTATGACTTTGCTCTGAGTCCGGATGTTCACCAGCATCTTCGGGACAGTGGTGGAGGTGAAGCAGATGTCTACAAAGGACATGTTGGCCAGGAAGAAGTACATGGGCGTGTGGAGGTTGGGGTCTGTGCGGATGGCCAAGATAATGAGCAGGTTCCCAAACACAGTGATCAGGTACATGGAGAGGAAAAGCCCAAATATGAGGGGCTGAAGTTCTGGTTCCTCTGAAAATCCCAGAAGAAGAAACTTTGAAATTTGTGTTTCATTACTTGGTTCCATGTGGTGGAGGTGGCTTCTGGGAAAGAGGGAAATAAAATAACATAAATTTGTGTTACTCACAAAATTGAAATGCGACTGTTTTTTATTTTGCAGTCCAGAAATTCCTTTTAATATGTCGTGTACGGATATGGTCCCTTTTAGGGAATCATCGCTGCCACATCTGATATACTTTTTATTGTC